GTCCGGGATGCGAACCGCAGTCGACTACGTGGGAATCCAGCGACATAGCCATTATGCTAACTGCTGGTTCCCCCCAATATGATTTTTAAAAACTTTTTAAAATAAATTTTCAGTATAGGGCACATGTGCTCACCAGAGAGAAACAGAAAGCAAGAAATCACACACCCCTCCCCCGAGTGGGGATGGCCATGCTGCAATACCTTCTCCTCCATCCTCTTGGTATCTTGTCCCCTCTGGATCTTGCATGTGCACACACACGTGCCCAGCATCACTTTGAAGCCCCCAGGTCTGGACCTCTGGGACTCAAAACATGGTCAGCTACATGGGAGTCCAGTGACATAACCATTATGCCATCTGCTGGCCCCATGCCTGATGTAATTTTCAAGCCACTATGTTCAGGAGTTCAGTACCGTAACCACTATACCATCTGTTGCCCCCGTGCTGGGTTTCTGCTATTGAGGCGCTCCCAAGCCAGGGGGTAGAAGAGATTCAGGCTTGAGCAGAGGTGACCAGAGTCCTCACACTCCCTGCCCTACTTTCATCCTTAACCTGCTCTCCAACTCTTGCTGGTTACAGCTGCGTTCAATGGCCTTGGGCAGAGGGAGATAGGGAAGCTACAATAGGACAGGGGCTTAGGTTTTTCCTTCCTTCACAGTCTCACTGGAGAGATCTTTTCTTTTTAAAAATTTTAAAAGAATTATTTTATTTAACTTTATTTTTACTTACTTATTTTAATTTGACCAGACAGGGATAGAGTGAAAGAGAGAGAGAGAAACAAGCTGCCAGGTCCAGGACTCGAACCATGGTAAGCCATGTAAAAATCCAACCCCCGTAAGCACCACGCCACCTGCCGGCCCCGCATTGGAGAGATCTTCAACTCAGACATCTCCACTACTTTATTCCTCCTCATCCCACACAGGCCTCAGAAAAGCAGGGCCCAGCAGCAGGTGACTTGCCTGGAGCCAGGACACCTAGATTCTCTGTTGCTCCAAACTTTACTCCCTGTGTGACCCTGGACAAGTTCCTACACCTCTCTGGGCCTCATAAACCAGAAAAACTATCCTCCCCTCCCAGAAGCCAAAGTGGGAGAAGTCTCTTGGTCCCCCTTAGTTCCCTGGGGCAGTGTGCTATGCCTTCCTCTCCTCCCTTTCTGCAGGAGGCTGGGCAGACTGGGTTGTCCTGTGCAGGATAGGGGTGACTCAAGAGCCCCAGGCTTCCCCTCCCCCTTATCACTCACCTGGATTAATCTGTGACTCACAAAGCCAGTACCGGATGTTGGGAGGGGGTTACATACATATATGTTGCAGGGTGGGGGGTGGAGTGGGGGGAGTGGTGGGGTGACTAGCCCAAATTTGATTTTATGTCAGGGACTGAGCAACCTTCAGGACTACAATGAATGTTACCTGCTGTATAGCCCCCCTAGGCTTTGGGGTCTTGCTCAAAGGAGATGAGCACAGGAACATAGCGCCTTCAGTAAAAGAACTGTGATTTAGAGGAGGCCGTCAGATACCACAGCCAAAGAGAAGGACCCTTTGAGAATTCACTAAATGGAACTACATAGAGAGGCTTAAGGACTAGTCAGAACAGGGGAAACTGAAACTTCAAGAAGGAAGCTTTACTGAAAGTCACAGGAAGGAATCCAGGGGACTTGCCTCCTACTTGAGAGCTTCTTCTCTTAATCTGCTCTCCAAAATTAGTACAATTTCCCCTTTTGCAGCAAACCAGGGCTGAAGACAAAAATTTGCCCAGACAGGGCTCAGCTGGTAGCACAGCAGCTAAAACACATGAAGCTCTACCTGACCATCTCACACGGGAAAGTTCTCTATTCATGTCCAGAGACCTCCCTGAGTGTGCCAAGCTGGTGCTTGACCATGGCTTGATGCTGGCTGAGAACTGGTATTTATCAGGATGTTAGGATCTTGTCAGGGGTGCTGTCTTCCTCACTCATGGAAGACAAACTTTATTTTTTTTTCTTTTTTTTTTTTTTGGAGAGGTTTTCGCTACAGGGCGCGTGCGGTCGCCAGACAGGCAGAGAGAGACATAGAGACAGAAAGCGAGAAATCA